AGGGTACTTTACAAGTAAAATTCGTAGGGACTGTTCGGTTGTGACCGCTATAGGCAGGTGGCCGCTATATCCAGGTGGCCGTTAACACAGGTTTGACTGTACCTGCTAAAGCTAAAAGTAATGGAGACATATTAAAAATTAATTAAAAATTTAAGATTAACCTTTCAAAGCTTGGCAATTAATATTTTTCTGCAATTTGATATGCATTTTGCATACATTAGCTGCCATTTAATATTTTTCACGTGTTATGGTACATTTTGGCCCCCCAAAAAAAACATTCATGTTCATTAAATACCCAAATGAAGTATCCTTAGTGCATATATTCATGCTCCTATCGTTATATGTTGGGAGTCACAGTAAGGCCCCATAATATTGTAATTGGCACATTACCAGGAGCACTTGAGCATGATGCAACTGGCTTGGGTCAGATTAGCATACTAATTTTTGCAGCCATCTTGACTTCTATATAACCTCAGTTCTCAACTCACTAGATCTTATCACTGATATGGATAAGCTTATAGCCATTCTAAGAATTATTCGGACATTTAGTTAGCAACATGACTTGCAACTGCGCAAAACACTTCGTTTTTTATCCAAAATGAAACTCGTTCATTAGAATATGCGAACAGGTTATTTTGAAGTGTTTTAATATTTCTTAAATTACATTGTTCCTCCAACTGTTATTACCTTTGTGAGAGTAAATGCTATAATTGGACTGTATAATAAATATAATTATTCGAAAACTTTGAAAACGAAAAGTATGTCGAAAAAACTATATACATATATACATTCAACTTAGCAATGTAATTTTTCAAATAAATATGAACCAAATAAAGTGCACAAAATCCAGTCATTTACATTCAGAGCCCATGTGGTTGTTTGCATAACTGCAAACTGAACAACAGTAATACATCCCATGTATTACAGTAGAAGTACAAATATGTCATTATTTATTGTGTACAGAATTATTCTGTGCAAGTGTTGTGGGGGAAGGGTGAGGTTCGGGTCTTCTCAGTCACGGAAGTGAACACTGAAACGGACACGTCATGTAACTGGAACTCAATCTCGTTTATTCTTCAACAACAACGTAATACAGATGTTAACTCGTAAACAACTGGAAAGCAACTGCTCAAAACGAGCGCAAAAACATACAATGTTGCCAATTGCCAATATCGCGTCAAGTAACAATTTGTAGGGCGGGAGGCGTTCTCAATGCCCGATTACGAATACGGTGTTTACTCCGACGTTCGGAACACATATTGGCCAAATTACAACTGGGTGTGCTAGTTTCTCATAGCATTACATGCAAAAAATGAAATACGAAGAAAACATGGTTATGAATAAAAGATCAATAATTGAAATGAATCTCCCCACAAGTGTAAATAAAGCCACAATGAAATACGTGTTTACTAATGTTACGTCTATGCTGGTTGTATTTCGGGCCACGCGTTTTGTTTGTTTGCGTGAACTCATTAATATTCCTCATGAATGCATGAGACGTTGGCGCTGACTTTATTTTCGCGCAAAATTGATCTGGCGAAAAATAATGAAAAATAATATCAATATCTCCGCGAACATAAAGTATTTCACAGTACATGTGAGATGACAATATATGTATTAACAACAACATTTTTAATAACTAAATTAATATTATTATTATCAGCGCCATTCAGACGTCTTTTACATGGTTTAGAATATCTCAAATTATAGACAGTCGACTGCAACCAAAACCTGGGCTCACTGAAATCACAATCAAGGATAGGACTGTACAGGAACATATGTGATGTCACCTCATGGCATTGATACCCGGATTGCTACGGCTGTGACTTGTACACATAAGGCGATCAAGTCTGATATCTGCGTGTGTTTACCATGAAAGTTTAACCCTACAGTCTCAGCGTACGGAAACAGTGACGAAGAGAAGTAACATACAAAGAAGATTACAAACGTGGCAACACTTACCGACGTCGGACATCTTGCGGCTGATGAAATACCGGAAGTATATTATCGAGGCGCTATTGCCATTCGCAATGTCAAAGTTCAATTAGCAGATGCACCAATTCGCTTAGATTCTGGCCGTAATTTGTTTGTTTTAAGGCAATTTTGTTTGACATACACAAATGAATGTATTGACGCCCCTACGTTTCCTACTAGTTCCTACTGTATGTCATAAAAAAATAAAATGTTAGTGAAAAAAATCCATGCGAGAACTATAGACTATAGAGGGCGCAAGCAAAGGCCTTTCGAAAGAAATAAAGTTGCAGTTTGAACAAATTCTACTGTGGTTCAACATAGCGGTCTCTTTCAAACTGTGTGGGCACTTAACGATTTTTTTTTTTCGATTAAAAAGACTTGATTACAGATTAAGAAATTGTCTGTAGCAAACTTAGATTTAAAGCCTACTTATGAATTCAAAAATTCTCAGAATTTACCCTTTTTTTAATAAATTGTACTTGTAATTGTACAAGCTATGGGTCATTAGATTAAAGCGCGGTGGTCGACGCGCAGCGCGTGTTCGAATTTCATGTAAATGAACAATGCATTTTACACGCGTTGTATACGTCGATATGAGTCCCATGTCGAACAGGACGCGGCGCGACGACCATCGCCTTTTAATTTTCGAGAAATTGGTGGATGTTTTTAGTGGATAGTGGCCATTTTGGCAGTATTATATATCAAAGGTTCATATGTCAGAGATATCATGCCATATCTCAAATTATAGCCTGGTGGTATAGGCAAAAAAAAATCATATAAAAAATCGGTCACTGGTAGCATAGTGGTTGTCGCTCCAGGCTCTTGATCGGTAGACCCAAGTTCAAATCTTACCTGCTTAGGCTGAACATCAAAGGGTTAACCCCTACCCTGGGTGAGTGTGCCACAGACTCAATGGGAAGGCCAATTCCACTGGCCGAGATTCATTCACTAACGAATGCGACTTTGGGGGAACCTTTGTTAAGGTCCGCAGGTGCTTGTGTTCGACCGAGCCTGGTTGACGCCAGGATAGCGCATTAAAAATGTCATTTGACAGAGAGATGGTCACACAGCCCTATCATGTAGTCCCAAACATGAATATGACTTCTGTGGCAAATGCACTATGTGTCAGCACTAGCACTTGCAATTTGCACATACAAAAAAGTCAGGAGAGACAACAGTGACATTCAATGTCCAGAACTGTCGCCTGGCACAAAAATATTTTTTTTTTAATTTTCCTGAATTATTTCAAAATCTGGGTTTTAAAAAGTGTAAACAAATCCAATCTTTGTTTGACATCATGCTCCATGGAATTGTTCTAAAAATAGCGAATTTGAAAAAATACGTCACTGTAACATACAAAAAATGCTATTTCATAGTGCCATGGAACAATAGCTTCATGATTTTACAGAATAAAAAAATGCATATTGATTGGCATGCGATTTATGACCAACTTTCTCAAAAATGAGTAGATTTAATATTGGACGAGAAACATAAATTGAGTCAACATTTTGTTTCACAGGATAGAAAAGATGGTAAGTAAATTAAATTGATCCAGCTCGTCTCTAACTTTGGCATTTGCTAGTACTTTTGCACACTGTACATGTGGAGAACAATTTGTTAGTTTGGATTTTTTTTAATTTCACCATTTTTTTTCAATCTAGAAATCTTGAAATGTCAACAACCTCTTCATTTGTGAAATACTTGACATGTTTGTACTTCAGTCTACGTGTATTACATGGGATGTATTACTGTTGATCAGTTTGCAGTTATGCAAACAACGACAGGGGCTGCGAATGTAAATGACTGGATTTTGTGCACTTTATTTGGTTCATGATTATTTGAAAAATTACATCGCCAACTTGAATGTACATATGTATATAGTTTCTTCAACAGACTTCTCAAAGTTTTCGAATAATTATATTTATTATACATTCCAATTATAACAGTTTATCACTATGAATGTTATTAGTAACAACATATTACACAAATAATAAACAGATTTTATTTCGTATTTGGATTGTTCTTTCCAATACTGAGCCATAAC